AGTAAATATTTTTGGGAGGATAGTCATCATTTTACAGTAATTGTATGACAGAAACATGGCTGTGCTATGGGTTCACTTGTATCGTCAATTGCAGCTAACCTGTATATGCAGGAGGTGGAGAAGAAAGCCTTAAACCATTTTAGGGAAGTAACACCGTGGCACTAGTTTAGGTATGCAAAAGGTACATGGGTCAAGATTAGAATACCAGAAGTACACATTTTTAGTGAACACATAAACTCTGACATAAATATCAAGTTTACATGGGAAGAGGTACAGAATAACAACCCTTACCATGTTATGCACTGTGGCCACGTAGGCATCTAGGCAAGGTAAAGATGACTTGCTGAAGTTAAAACCGAGCATCAGAATGGAGAAGAAAGGGGATTTAAGTGACTTTTAATATGGCATGGTTGTTGGTGTAAGAAGGGCTGGTCTGAGTATTTCAAAAACTGCTGATCATCTGGGATTTTCACGCACAACCATCTCTAGCTTTTACAGAGAATGGTCCAAAAAAGAGAAAATATCCAGTGAGTGGTGGTTGTGTGGACGAAAATGCCTTGTTCATGTCAGAGGAGAATGGGCAGACTGCTTCAAGATAATAGAAAGGTAACAGTAACTCAAATATCCACTCATTACAACCAAGGTATGCATAATACCATCTCTGAATACATAACATGTTGAACCTTGAAGATGGGCTACAGCAGCAGAAGACCACACCGGGTGCCACTCCTATCAGCTAAGAACGGGAAACGGAGGCTACAGTTCACATGGGCTCACAAAAATTGGACAATAGAAGATTGGAAAAACATTGCCTGGTCTGATGAGTCTTGATTTCAGCTGCAACATTCAGATGGTAGAGTCAGAATTTGACGCAAACAACATGAAAGCATGGATCCATCCTGCTTTGTAGCAACGGTTCAGGCTGGTGGTGGTGCTGTAATGGTGTGGGGGATATTTTCGTGGCATACTTTGGGCCCCTTGTACCAACTGAGCATTGGTTAAATGCCACGGCCTACCTGAGTATTGTTGCTGACCATATCCATCCCTTTATGACTACAGTATACCCATCTTCTGACGGCTACTTCCAACAGGATCGTGCATCATGTCACAAAGCTCAAATCATCTCAAACTGGTTTCTTGATCATGACAGTGAGTTCATTGCACTCTAATGGCCTCCATAATCACCAGATCTCAATCCAATTGAACAAATTTGGGATGTGGTGGAGTGGGAGATTCGCATCAGGGATGTGCAGCTGACAAATCTGAAGCAACTGCGTGATGCTATCATGTCAATATGGACCAAAATCTCTGAGGAATGTTTCCAACACCTTGTTGAATGTATGCCATAAAGAAGGCAAAAAAAAAAATTCTGAAGGCTAAAAGAGGTCCAACCTGGTACTAGCAAGGTGTACTTAATAAAGCAGAGGGTAAATTGGGGAGATAAAGCAACATCTCAACAAATTATTAGCCCAACATAAGAAGCCAACTTTTACAGGCCAAGACTCAGCAGTCTTCCTATGCTTTAAGGGAAAGGGGAATTCTTTTGAAGACTGTAATGTTTTCTCTAACTTCCCCTGCAAAGTACCAAAATGCCATGGGATGATGACAGATGTGCTGCAGCCAGCAGCACCAATCACTTTCTTTGCCCAGCAAGTGTAGAGTTCACACCAGGCCAGCATGGAAAAGTTGCAGGAAAGACTGTATCTGCTCTGTCTCCCAAGTCCTAACTTTCTCCACCTCCCAAACATTTTTATACCTTTCTGTAAACCAACCTTGGTTCCTTGTGTCCTATGCTGTCACCACCACTCACCACATATGTGTTTGTGTACAGTATGTATGTGAGTGTGTGCATGTATGTACAGTGTGTGTGTTCATACATGTGTGCATGTTTGTGTGTGTGTTTTTATGTATATGATTGTGTGTGAGTTATGCACTAGCGTTTATGTACTCCTTATCCCTGTACTATGTACTTTACATACCCCTGCCTCGGTTCGATGGGCTATATGTTTCTTTTACTTCCTAACCCTGGATGTCTTTGTGGTATTCAGGCCTGACCCTGGCAATATGTATATTCCACAGTCCTGACCCCAGAACTTTTCATGTAACACACTCCCGTTTTTTTTTCTAGGAGGCTGCAGAGCATTACACCTGCTGGAGCATGACAGATCACTCACAATCTGATGACTCATAGTATAGCTGTCTGCCTGTGTCTGCCGTCTAGGCAGACAGTTACTGAAGAGCAGGAAGTATTAACAAACTATGAGGGCACTCACCAGCGTCCTTGCAGTTTACTGAGAGCTACAAAGCATCTGCTGAATGTAGTTCTTCATTCATTCACAGATAGCTGTGAAGGAATGACGTGAATGTGTCAGTGGAGTCTCACATGGACGCGCTGTTTTTCAATGTTGACAGCGGGTGCAGTGAAAGAATCTCCATCTGCTGTCACAGTAGTTGATCAGGGGGGCTGTGGGGCTGCTGCTTTAGTAAAATGTTAAATTTTACACCCTGAATACAGGTGTAACATGTTACTTGTTATTAAGGGTGAATGTATCCATGCAACTGCAATGCTATGAAGCTGCAAAAGCTGCTGCACTCGTTTGCATCTTATCACCTGCTAGCTTGAAATGCCAAATATGACATTTTCATGTGGAATATTTTATATACCTGTCTTAATAATAATGAATAATTGATAATGACAATGTCATTTGATGGAATCCCCTTAGGCATCACAGGAAGTTACAGAATGTTGCAAATAAGGCTATATAGGGAGAACAAAGACACAATGGACAACTTTCTAAAAAAATCGAGCAAGGTGCGTTTATGTGCACTATTTAATTTCCTAGTAGAGACAGCATGATCATTTTAAGATGGCATACAGGTGCATTGGATAACAAGATGATTGCACAAATATCCTGTATAAATGCTGAGAACAATATATCTTGGGACAACGTTGGTCTTATAATTAAAAAAGACATAAAAAATATATAACATTAATGTCATTAGCAATAGTGATAACTATATTTCCTCTAAAAATGTACCAACTGAACACCTGATTAGTGAGTATGCTATATAATATGTAACAAATATTTCATATTATAAAAATAACAATTACATTTTTCTTTATTAAATGACATACCTAGGTAAATTAAACAGCAATATTTTCTTTGTAAATGTTCTGTGTCAATTTGGCATGACTGTAGATAAAAAACTAATCTCGGGAGTCATTGCCAAATTACGTTGCCAAATGATCTGGCAAAATGAAATCAACTGGCACGTTAACAGTCCAAATTGCTACCACTAATGTTATTTTATAATGCTGTTGGAAACATATATTTATGTATTTCTATTTATTTAGCTAAGTTTTGATGGATTGTTGTACAAAATTAATAAAAAAAGATAGCATATGGTGCACAGCGGGAGCATCTTTGTCTGGAACAACAAATGGGATAGTTATAAATATTGTCCTAAAAAGTGCCAAATAGAGATGCATACAGGGAAGACATCCCCAAGCTGAAACATGCAATGTTAATTATGCAAACAATTGTTATTTCTACACATTTTTTAGGGTGACATCAAAGACCTTATTTTTGAGATTTATTTCATTTTAAAATGTATGTATGGCAGACCTTTGTTACTAATAATCTACATGCTAACTAGAGTTAGGAATATGTAGTGACTGGTAGGTTTGAATCGCATGCTTCATGGATCTTTCTAGGACTCATGTGGTTAGATAGACTTACCAAAAGTATTCCCAGGTTTGACCAGCTGTTGTAGCAACTTTTTTTTAACAAAAAATGATTAATGGTATTTTAACTACTCTACCAATAGATTCTCAATTATGAAGAACTGGGGCACGACATACCCCTCTTTTATAGTCATGAGGGAAGAGGCAGACAAAGAAAAAAATGTGTGAGAAAGAAGAAGGTATATCAACCCCATCAGTACCAGCCTTAAACCAATGTTATTGCCTTTAACCACTAGCCTACAGGGCACTTATACCCCCTTCCTGCCCAGGCCAATTTCCAGTTTTCAGCGCTGTTGCACTTTGAATGACAATTGCGCAGTCATGCAATACTGTACCCATATGAAATTTTTATCATTTTTTTGTGACAGCTTTATTTTGGTGGTATTTAATCACCTCTGGGTTTTTTATTTTTTCTTAAACCACAAAACCACTGAAAATTTTGAAAAAAAAAAAAAGTTTTTTCTTAGTTTTTGTTATAACATTTTGTAAATAAGTGATCTTTCTCCTTCACTGATGTGCGCTAATGAGGCTGCACTGATGGGCACTGATAGGCTGCACTGATGGACACTGATAGGTGGCACTGATGGACACTGATAGGTGGCACTGATGAGGAGGCACTGGTAGGTGGCACTGATGGGCATTGACAGGCATCACTGATGGGCATTGAAAGGCAGCACTCATATATGGCACTGATAGGTGGCACTGACTGGCACTGATAGGTGGCACTGACTGGCACTGTTAGGTGGCACTGACTGGCGATGTTAGGCGGCACTGATAGGCAGCACTGATGGGCACTGATAGACGGCACTGATGCGCACTGATAGGCGGCACTGACTGGCACTGATAGGCAGCACTGGCTGGCACCGATAGGTGGCACTGATTGGCAGCACTGACTGGCACTAATAGGTGGCACTGACTGGCACTGTTAGGCGGCACTGATAGGCACCACTGATGGGCACTGATAGACGGCACTGATGCACACTGATAGACGGCACTGACTGGCACTGATAGGTGGCACTGATAGGCGGCACTGACGGGCACTGATAGACGGCACTGATGCACACTGACAGGCGGCACTGACTGGCACTGATTGGCAGCACTGATAGGTGGCACTGACTGGCACTGTTAGGTGGCACTGACTGGCGCTTTTAGGTGGCACTGATAGGCAGCACTGATGCACATAGACTGCATGATGCACACTGATAGCGGCACTGAATGGCACTGATAGGCAGCACTGACTGGCACTGATAGGTGGCACTGATTGGCAGCACTGATAGGTGGCATTGACTGGCATTGATAGGTGGCACTGACTGGCACTGATGGGTGACACTGAAAGGCAGCTCAGATGGGCACTGATGGGCACTGAAATGTGGCACTGGCAGGTGGCATGGTTGAGCACTGAGAGCTGGCACTGATGGACACTGTCAGGTGGCGCTGCTGGTGCTACACAGATCATCAGGGCACACTGATCATCAGTGCCCTGATGATCTGTGTACATGTCCCCTCCGAAGAATGCCGATTACCGGCTCTCCTCTCCTCGCGAGCTGTCAGCGTGACAGCTCGCAGGGAGAGAAATACAGATAACCGGCATTTCCCGGTTTACATGTGATCAGCTGTGGTTGAACACAGCTGATCACATGACCGAGCCGACATCTTTGGCTCTTTCCTTGGATCGGTGATCCGCTGTGTCCGAGTGACACAGCGCACCGCTGATCGCCGTGCTGCGCGCTCCGAGAGCCGCACATGCGCGGTTAGAATGGGAGGACATCATATGATGTCCTCCCAAACGAGAGAACCACCTTGCGTCTGTCATATTATTATATGGCGGGCGGGAGGTGGTTAAAAGAAGACACTCAAACGTTTGAAATATATATACGACCAGCCATACTATTAAGATCACTCACAAGTAAAGTCAATATCATTGATTATCTTGTTACAATGGCATCTGAAAGTCAGTGGGATACATTAGACAGCAAGTAAATATGCTGTACATGAAGTTGATCTGTTGAAGGCAGAAAAAATGGGCATCACAGTCTTGGTCAGGGTGCCCATGCTGACCCGTGTCCACAGCCAAAAGCACCTACAATGTGCATGTGAGCATCTGAATTTTACCACGTAACAATTGAAGAAGGTTGTCTGGACTGATAAATCATGTTTTCCTTTATCATGTGGATGGCCTAGTGCATGTGCGCCACTTACCTGGGAAAGAGATGGCAGCAGGGTGCAGTATGAGAAGAAGGCAAGTTGGCGGAGGCAGCTTTGGGCAATTTTCTGCTGGGAAATCTCAGTCCTGCTATTTATGGTAGTTGTTCCGTGACACGTATCACCTACTCAGCCACACTTCAAAAATGGTTCAAGCATTGTTTTTAGGACCACAACAACCATTCTCCAGATCTCAATTTATTGTGCATCTGTGGGATTTGCTGGAAAACCATGTCCAATCCATGGAGGCCTCAACTTGCAGGGCTTTGGTGACAGCAGTGTATATGATATAGAACAACAGAGCATACTCTCTCCCTGTGTAGGTCTGTTTCAGTACTGGAAGGGTTTGTTTTCAGATGGAAATTCCTAGAGCAGGAGAAATGAGCATGCAAGCAAGGGCTTGTGTACATCTCACTATACATGGTAACAGAACATTTTCTTGCAATCTTCTTTTACAAAACATGTACATATGAAAACCTATCTAAAGTAGCCAAATCAGGGAGGCCCTTTCACCACATAGTTATTGGTAGATCTAAAGGAAATTTTACAATCAGATTATAAAGCTTGTGGTGAGCTTTAAGGTCTGTTCCCACCAGAATGCAACAAAAAAGGCACAGACAAAGCCATCACACTCACGTGTATTTGCATGTGTTTTGCAATGCATCATGTTGTGTCATGTGTTTGCATGCGTTGGACGGCATTTTTTTCTGGTTTATTTCTGGTTTATTTAAAAGAAAACTGCAGTCAAACAAACACTTTCTACAAGGTCACTTCCTATAGCTACAGTCTATTCATAGTGTGCTGTATGAGATCCACGTGAAGAATTTCTTCTGATCGTCAACTAGGTTTGTGTTAACAGGAATAATCATTGTTTTTGTCATTGCAATGCTAAGATGACATGATCATTAGAGATCTTGTTACTGGGAAAATCAACTGATGACAGTAAGGGAGAAGAATGGAGAATTTCATACCCTTTACCAAAATCTGTAGTCTCATCCTCACAGTTTTTTTCAATAATACTAATATGTAAATTGAAAGGGTTAGCTACAGTGCCAAGACAAGATCATTCAGCTCCCCGAGTGAAGATGCCAAACTGTGCCCACCCATGTGATATATACACTTTATTATCTTTTGCAGCTGGGGTCTCACTCCCAGCTGCCAGCACTCTTATCTCAACAGCATTGTGCATCTCCACATCCACCATTCAGGTTTCATGTGTATCCAGAAATATGCAGAGATGTTGGAACTCCCTGCTTTGTGTTCTTTGCCTGTGTTTCCTTGCACTGACTGTAAATTAGAAATGGATCAGCCAGAGGCAAAACGAAAGGCAGGGCACACATGAAGTGAGGAGGAAGGCACAGCTTGCCACGCTTTAACTCCTTCCCCACATGAAAGCACTGTATGCGGGAAAGCTGCCCCTCTTGCCCCCAACCATGTCTTGGCCTTTGTGGAGGCTATCCTTACTGTTTTAGAGTAAACTTTGTTGACTTACAGATTCCAGATGCAATAACTGCAACTTGCCAGAATTGTCCCAAGACTTCCCGGAGCTGCATTGGTATAGATGATGCAGAATGCACATGCAGCTGGGGATCTATGCCCTGACTCAATATCGGCCACTGAAATAATGTTGTGGTCACACCAAAAACCTTTCCTATTTGTAGGGGATCAGAGTACTTCCCAATAGACTGTGCTGTGTCAGTCATCTTACGTTGTGGTCATTGCGGTTCTGCAGCATCTTTTCCACAGAGGATGTCTTGATCCCTACTCCACTGATCTCCCTTTTATTTCCCTGGTCTGACCTCACCTGAACCAAATGTAATATCTCCTGCGCTCCGGGAACCCAGGCCGGTGGTGAGTAGATGGAATCAAACTCCAAAAAGAAAGGAACCACCGGAATAAACAAGGTCGTGCAGCTCCACATCAAGGCTGGGGAAGCCCAAACAAAACTGTGAAGGAGAACAACAAAAGAGAAGCGCACCAACCTTGCGCATTACCTCAGTAACCAAAAATTTATTGAATAAAAGAATGGTACTCACAAACAGCGAATAAAAACAAGCATGTAAGTCCTCAAAGGGACTTTAGAGGCAAGATGCCAATGCGAATCCCATCATGGAGGAAGCCACTCAGTAAGCCACCTGAGTCTTGGTGCTTCTCCTGATTCTGGGAGATCACCCTTGGGTATCCAGCATTGCCCTTTATGCTATCCATCTGCACCATATGTACCAAGTCAAAATCTAAAGTCTTGATTTCAAATGCTAAAAGTTTTGTCTTGGCGGGTTAAGCAGGGGTGCAGTTAGAAATCATGGGCTTTGTTTAACTTGCCTGACAGGGCAGCCTCTTCTCCCCACTATACACATACAAGCACCATCTGTACCTACACAGCCCCCCCCTCACACCTGTACACACATACATTGTATATATACAGCCACCACCTGTATACACTCAGCCCCCACACTGTATGCACACACTCATCCCTGTGCACATACACAGAGTACACACACACACACCTGTACACACAAAGCTCCCCTCACCCCTATACATCCACACAGCCCCCCCTCACACCTGTACACACATACATTGTATATATACAGCCGCCACCTGTATACACTCAGCCCCCACACCTGTATGCACACACTTATCTCTGTGCACATACACAGAGCCCCCCCCCCCCACACACACACCTGTACATACACAGCTCCCCCCTCACCCCTATACATCCACACAGCTGTCTCCACACCTATACACGCATACATTGTATATATACAGCCACCACCTGTATACACTCTGCCCCCACACCTGTATGCACACACATCCCTGTGCACATACACAGAGCCCCCCCCCACACACACCTGTACACACAAAGCTCCCCTCACCCCTATACATCCACACAGCTGTCCCCACACCTATACACGCATACATTGTATATATACAGCCACCACCTGTATACACTCAGCCCCCACACCTGTATGCACACACTCATCCCTGTGCACATACACAGAGCCCCCCCCCCCACACACACACCTGTACACACACAGCTCCCCTCACCCCTATACATCCACACAGCCAACCCCACACATGTACACAAAGCATCCCTCCACACCTGTACACACACAGCTCTGCCCCACACCTGTATATGTGTACCCCCCTCACACCAGTACACAAGTGGCACATCCACAACTTTACACACAGATCACCTCCACACCTGCACACACTCAGCCCCCGACACCTGAAAACACACAGCACCCCCACACCTGTATATGTGCAGCCCCCTTCTCACCTGTACACACTCGGCTCCTTTCACACTTGTACTTACGTAGCACCCCCACACCTGTACACACATAGCTCTGCCCCACACCTGTGTACTCTCATCCTCCTGCACAACTGTACACACAACACTCCCCCACACCTGTATACGTACAGCCCCCCCCCCACATCTCTATATGTGCACCCGACCCCATACCTGTATACATACACAACCTCCACCCACACCTGTACACACACAGCTCCCCCCCACACCTGTGTACATACAGCCCCCCCCACATCTCTATATGTGCTTCCCGACCCTATACCTGTATACACACACAACCTCCCCCCACACCTGTACACACACAGCTCCCCCCACACCTGTATACGTACAGCCCCCCCCCCCCACATCTCTATATGTGCACCCGACCCTATACCTGTATACACACACAACCTCCCCCCACACCTGTACACACACAGCTCCCCCCCGACACCTGTATACGTACAGCCCCCCCCCCCACATCTCTATATGTGCACCCGACCCTATACCTGTATACACACAACAACCTCCCCCCACACCTGTACACACACACAGCTCCCCCCACACCTGTATACGTACAGCCCCCTCCCACATCTCTATATGTGCACCCGACCCTATACCTGTATACACACACAAGCTCCCCCCACACCTGTACACACACAGCTCCCCCCACACCTGTATACGTACAGCCCCCCCCCCACATCTCTATATGTGCACCCCGACCCTATACTTGTATACACACACAACCTCCCCCCACACCTGTACACACACAGCTCCCCCCACACCTGTATACGTACAGCCCCCCCCCACATCTCTATATGTGCACCCGACCCTATACCTGTATACACACACAACCTCCCCCCACACCTGTACACACACAGCTCCCCCCCACACCTGTATACGTACAGCCCCCCCCCACATCTCTATATGTGCACCCGACCCTATACTTGTATACACACACAACCTCCCCCCACACCTGTACACACACAGCTCCCCCCACAACTGTGTACACCCAGCTTTCCCTCACATGTGTACTCTTGCAACAAACCCACAATTGTACACATCCAGCCCCACACATGTGTATACAGTATACGCAACACTCCCTACACATGAAGCACCTCCCAAACCTGTAAACATGCAGCCCCCCTCACAACTGTATACATGCAGCCCCCCTCAGACCTATACACACAGAGTGCCTCCCATACCTGTATATATGCACCC